CTCGCTGCGGAGACCTAGGACGCCCTGGTGAAGGGAGAGGCGAGCGGGTGGGAGCCCTGGGGTGCTGCTGAAGGGGCCTCCCCGGCAGCCGCTTGGGAGTTACCGAGGGTGCAGGGGGGCAAGGGACGGGCATGGACATGTTGGGGGGAGGCAGGGGTTTGTGTGGGCTCAGCAGCATTTGTTTAAGCTAGATTTAGCTTCAGAAGTTGTCCTGCCTTGTGCATGGCGCAGTGCCCGGGACCACTCGGGGTGCTATTCCTGCACCTTCGGGGGGAGAGAGACCGAGGGGCTGATTTTTGCTGGGAGGATGCACAGACCCCAGTGGGCAACGGACCGATCTCCCCACAAAGCAGCAGATCGTCCCCTTGCGGGTACAGAGCTCACCCCAGCTCAACCCCCAAACAGTCATTTCTTCCCCAGCAATGCCTGGATCCATCCTCCGGCCACGAGGATCTCCGCAAAGTGCCGGCTGCTTTCCTGAACCAGCCAAAACACCCCAGGGCCCAGCCGGACTGCGCAGGGATGCCGCGGAGGCAGCGGTAAAGCAGGTGCCCTGACTCAAGGACCCGACTGAGCAGCTGACACATGAAGCATATCGTGTGCAGTGGGTAAAATGGGCTGGGAATTGGGTTGTGGGTGGAAAATAGTGACCTGGGAGGCCGGAAAGCCCTTTGCCTTTGCCTGCGTGCAGCTGGAAAAACTCAGGGCTACGATTTCTGGTGGTTTAGAGGAAAAACATGACTTACCAGCGAAACCACAGCCTGCTTTCGGACCAGATGATGCTTCGCCTGCAGTTGTCTGCCGAGACAGGGAGAAAGTCATCAAAGAGCAAGGCAAGGAGAACTGTAGCCTCCTCCCAGAGGCAAAGGACACAATCCTGCTGTCTCGTCTCCTCCCCAGGTGTCCCCTCCAGCACAGTCTGAGCTCGCCCCGCGTGGGCGGATTAAAGCCGCGTGCTGTGCGCTGGAGGCAGCTCAGCATTTCCCTGGCTCCTGCAGAGCGTGGAAATCTCTCCTTTTGTGCGTGGGAGCCCAGAGAAGTCCCCCCAGGACGGTGAGTTTGTTCTACTTGACTTGTTTCTGCCTCTCCTGGCCTCCCGCCTTGCAGCCCCTTCTAGCTTAAACCCCATCCAGCCAGGACAGATTGGACTCGTTTTCCCACTTTTTTTTTGTGCCGAGCCCAGCCAGAGGGCACGCATCTCCTGCGCGTGCCCGGCAGCGGAGAGGCAGGAGGTGCTGGCGCTCCTGGCCATGGGGCTGCTGCTCCTCCGCGCACCACCTA